ATAGTCTAATAGAGAAAATAATCTTCTATTTTCCTATGCTATTTTATCTGACTTTTTAAAACTATTATATGTGCCTTGTAGTACTAATCCCTATTCAGTGGATATTTTGTTGGATAAATTTTTATAGAAACAAAATAGAGAAGTGTAGTTTTCATCATTCAAAAGAGAAGATGAATATGCATCTAATCATATATTATAGATGTTTTTTTTTATGTTAATTCTTTAAAGGTTTTTAATTAACCTTTTTGAAAATAAATCTAATTGTGATGTGTTTATATTGATTTCTCAATTGTCATATATGTTTTAAAACAGCTGATCAAAGATCTACAAAACTGTACAAGGTTCAGAGATCTCAAATTAATTATTGAGAAGTAATAAGTATTCTAGTCGAAGTTTAAAGTGATTTTTCTGACATATTTATGTAAAAGAATTTTTTATTGTTTCCTTTTTGATAAAAAAAAAAAAAAACATTTTCCCCACATTTAGAAAACTGATTAAACAAACATGAAACCATATACTAGAAAAACGTATAATATATGATTCTATACATGTTGATCTCCTTTTTCGAACGATGAAAACCTTAATTCTCTATCTTGTTTATATCAAAATTTTTATTAAAAAATATTAAATAGGGCCTAATAATACAAAGCACATATCAATCATAGGAAGAAAAGTCTTTTGTCGAAAGTTTATTATAATTATGATATTAAAATAGTATAGAAAAATAGAAGATTATTTTCTCTATTAGACTATTCCGAAAGAAAGTTTCTTAAATCTATTTATGAAGAATAAAAGTATCTCTATTACTCTATATTTGATATGATCGAAGTAATTAAAAAGAAAAAAAAACGAAGTTATGTAGTGAATAAATAAAAACTTACTTTTTAAAGCTTTTTTTAAAGGTGTATCATTTTCTAATTCTACTAAAGCTTGTTCTCTTGAAAAAATAACAGTTAAATGTGTTTCAGATCCAAGAATCCAGATAGGAGTTTTAGGATTTTTTAAAAACCATCCAACTTCCATTAAACGATAAATTTCAAGTGATGATAAAAATCCAATATAAGCTTGTTGACGTATACCATATAATTTAAAACCAGATATATCTTTATCTCCATCAAAACAATGTGGTGTAGCAAAACCAGTTATTAATAAATTAGTTAAACATTGACTTCCATGTCCATGTGCAATATCAATTAAAGGTAATGTTGTTTCATCATCAATTTCTTTTTTTAATAAATCAATTGTTTTTGTCATTAAACATGAATAAAGAAAAAGTAAAACACCATAAGAATTTTTCCACATTTGAAGACGTGAAAAAATTTCTTGTTTTAAATCAATATTTGTTTGACATAAACGAAATTGAATTTGTTGATGAAATTGATTTATTGTTAAAGTTTTTTTTTGTTTATCATTATTAAAATAAGCTAAATAAATTTTATTATTTGATGATGATAATAAATGAAGAATAGAAACAAGTGCATTTAAAAAATGTAAATCAATTTCATCATTTGATGCTTGACGCCAATCATTTAAACAACGTCGACAAAAAATTAATTCATTTAATAAATGTGCTTGAACTGTTGTTAAAACCGAACATGGACCACCTTCATATTGAATTAATGCTGATCGTTCATCTGTTGAAAACTCAAATGGTTGAGACCAACGTTCAAATATTGATTCTTCTATTTTATCTCCCCAAACGATTTTTATTAATTCATTTGGAAATTTTATCATTTCATTTGATGAACTTTTTTCACTTGTTACCATTCTAAAAATATAAAATCTTTTATTTTCACAAATTTGTTTGCTTTTTTTATGACATTTTCTTTTCTTTCCTTTTTTTTTCTCACTGTTACTTTTTCAAAAAGTTTATTCAACAACCATTCATCATTCATTATTATTCATTATCAAACTAAATGTGTTTTAATTTTTTTTCAAAACGATCAACTTAATAATAATATGGTAACTTTTATAAATGGTTGCATTTTTTTTTATAGATGTCGCTCAATTACGCTTTATTTTATCCATGTTTGAAAATGGAACAGATCTTTGTTGCTCTCAAAAAAAAAACTTCAATGAAAATAAGCTCTTGTCGAAATAATTAATTATATAAGCGATCGAATAAATATCAGAATTTAGTTCTGTTATATATTTAACTCACTTAGGGAGCATTTCAAAATGTATTCCGCCCCATCGGTCATTATTCCTTCATTCCCTCATCTTATTATTCGTCTATTTTATCATTCATTTATTGTTTCTGT